TCCTTCAATCCTCTTGGTTCCCCTGTTCCTGCTTAACAGCCAGTAAGACAAAGGAGATCTCTTGTCGCCCACTAAAGTGGCGTGGTGGAAGGATCGCATCCGAGCTGGACAAGTTCTCGGCATAGGTGGCGGGCCGCCGTGCGAAACGTGGTCAGCTGCGAGATGGTTAGGAGGAGGACCGCCTCCATTGAGAGATCGACAAGCGCCCTGGGGTTTGCCGTGGCTGTCCAAGAAACAGCACCAGCAAGTGGTAGTCGGTAGTGGACTACTTCGAACTGCTGTCGAACTGGCAGTCATGGTGACTTTCTATGGAGGATGCTTCTTCATCGAGCATCCGCAAGTGCCACTCTGGCTGGAAGGTACACCGTGTCCGGCCATTTGGAGGACGCAGATGCTCAAGAAGTTGGCGCAGCTCCAGTGTGTTAGCGCCACCAGTTTCGACCAGTGCGTATTTGGTGCCTGCGGCATCAAACCAACCACTTTCCTGGTGGGGCGAATGCCAGTTTTTAGGGAGGTAGTCATGGCGAGTGGGCATGGCGGTCGCTGTCACCATGGACCCGGGGCCCATGTCGGACTCGCCGGCCGCGTCAATGGGCGATTCCGCACAGCGGGAGCCAAGATCTACCCTGCTGGCTTGAACTACATCATTGCAGAGGCCTTCGCAGCTTTTGTCGCGAGCTTGAAGTTGAAGGCGCATGATGGAGAGCTTAGTGAGGCGTTTAGTGACTTACGTCAGGTTGGTGCGGCCAAAGGTCGAAATGAAATCCAGCCTGACTATCACTACTAGCCCTATGCGGCAGTGCATGACAGGTTTGAACCACAAGTCCAGCAGGGCTTAGTATGCGCGAAAGAAAAAAGGTCAAGTAAATTATGATATAGGATATATGCATATGCTGCCATGCAGCCTGCACATGAGCCAGTGAACCGAGCATCCAATGGCACTAAGGATACCTAAATTAAAGGTTCCTGGCATCAACTCGGCATCAACTGCTGATCATGATACGGCATCGAATGCTTGATATATCTTGATATGCATATGCACAATGATGAGATATGATGAGAAAACAAACCAACACCCAGCGCACAACCCCAAAGCACTAGTACAAACCGCTTTCAAACAATGTCACATGAAAAGCTATCACCTTTACGTTCTGTAGCGCACAGCTCTGTGATATAACTTTCAAGAGTCTTGAAACGACTTAAGCCTACTGTTTGTAAATGTTTGTGTCCTATCCATTTGCGGATCACAAAACTACCAAGAAAGCCTGGCGACTTTGTTTCTCCCGCTGGCACCCCTGGCGAGCACAGGCGGACAGCGCAGCATTGAAGGAGACCAGGTTGACCTTTGCAGAGTGGTCGAATTCAAAAGAAAACCGGCAAGGGAAACCTGCATTTGCATGTCCAGGAACGGGAACCAAAAGGACCAAACATATCACAAAAGGTCAGGGGATTCATTCACATCATTCACTCAGTTCCAAAAAGTAAACATCACCCGAAACCATTTGTCGACATCTCCTCCCTGAACGACGTGATGGCTGAACGCGGACAAAATAAAAACATGAGCACACCTGGTGGGATATTCCCTGAAAACCTTTAGGACTCCATGTCCTTCTCCAGTTCATCCACTGTCGCCAGCCGCGGGTGGACCAAGCCAACATAGCCTCCAAATGCCTCCAATTGGTAGAGGTAACCAACTAATGTGTAGGGAAAATGAACACCAATGACATCCAATGACAACATGTAGCCACATCCTGTCTGGGCTTTTTTCACTGTGGGGGGTACCGATCTGCCACCGAAACCACCGCGACGTCACGACGTCTCGACACGTCCGCCTGGATCGATCGCAGCGAGTGCAGAAGAGCCAAGGCTTCCTGCCAGCCTGAGATCCACGGGTGAATGCGCCCGCGCGCACCGGGGGGAACGTGGCGCAAAGCCGGCGCACCTGCGGAAACCGGAGCGCTGACTGGGTGGGAAGTACGTACGAGTCTCAAGTTTGCAGTAGCTGTGGCAAACTGGTAGACGTGATGTTGTGTGGTAGGATGTGGTAAACCATGGTAAACCCGAAGCCAAACTGAGGTGAGAAAGGTTCCAAGAACTTCTAAACTAACACGAGTCATTGTACACATGCAACAAGGAAACACGCAAGTGGAATGTGACCCACGGAAGAGCATGTTTGTCTATATCAGTTTCTGCTCCACTTCCATGTTGCTTCAAGAAACAAATCGTTGACTGTCACTGTTGGTGGTTCATGGTACAGTATATATAGTTCAGTCAGTAGTGAAATTGCACAGAGTATTGATTCGTTGGCAAAAGTCAAAAGAAATCAAAAGAACGTCATCAAACAACCAATGTACACAAGCCCCAAAAAGATCCACAAAGGACATCAACATTGCTCCGGAAGGTCATCTGTGGTCATCTGTGAATCCGGAAAGCTGAGGCTTGAAATGAGGGGTCAGTATGCACTCATCGACTCATCACCATTCGATACTCCGCACACTGAGTCTTGCACATCCTCCGACATCACAGGCTGCCATGACAGAGCTCAACAGTGCAACGTCTACGAAGATCCCCGCACGCTGCGCCTGTACCACTGCACCACTCGTGCGACAGCACATTGAAGACTCGATCCCATCACTGAGTCTTTTTTGAGCCAACTTAGGGAGTTCCTTCCCCAACAAAACGCCCACCGATGTCTTTCAGCGGCAATTGAGTGAAGCCTAACAGCTTTGGCGGTGCTACATACTCTCAAGCGGATGCTTCCTATCTAGTCTGCCAGTCTCGAGAGACAGGTACTCCAAAATGTTTTCTTACCTCGAGTGATATTCGGAAGCAGGACACGTAGAACTCTCATGACTTGCATGGCTTCAACATAGAATCCTTATGTATCCTTATGTCCAAATAAAGCCACCAAAACACAACATGTCTACGGCCGTCGTCTCAGACTTCCCGGTGCCTCCCCAAAGAGCTGCAAGGACATCTTCCAGTTGCGGCCCTTCTCCGCGGCGCTCACCGCTGCCGAAAAGCTCACGACGTTGGGACGCCAGGCACCGGCCACGAGCAAGGCCAGGGCCTCTCGCCACCTGCGGATCACCGGGTGGAACGGTCCTGAGAATCTCCCTCTCCAAATCGAGAAGTGAAGACATGGAGAAATCGGATTTGCCCGGGAAGAAGACACAGCGATTCAATGCCTCCTGTACTGAAGATGTCACTCGAAAAGGAAAGCGGAAAAGAGACTCCTCAATGTCTTTCGAAACTCCTTGCATTTGGCATTGCAAGTTGAGCTCGGAGCTCTGCCGGCTCTGCTTTTTCCATCTTTTTCCTCCCGCCGTTCGTTGTCGGTGGCATCAACGCGTCGATTCCACAGGTCGATCTTTGGACAGGGCATCAACGTCGCCACATCGACTTCGCCAGGCTCCAAGTCTTTGTGCTGAGATAGTTGGAAAACCCAACTCCAAGACAGCAAAGAGATGCAAAGAGGAAACTAAATGAAGTATTATCCAGTGCTTTGGCATCTGGTTTGAGGAGCAAAGACCTGCCCCAGGTGTTCTCCTGGACATTTGGGCCACATGATGTCATTCTTCTTGGGCTTGGTGGCCTTCATGACGCGTACCCCATCAGGTTTTGCTCACCTTGCTTTCTGAGCGTCCAGTGAGAAAAACACGCTTCAATCCCTGATCCTTCGCATTCTCGTGCAACAAATTGACAAATTATAGACTTTAGACATCTTTGGACAGTCTAGGCCTGCTGCCGTATCCTCGAAATGACACTGAAATCTAGGGCTTCCAGGCTTTCTCTCTTGACCGTCTCACAAAAAACAGCTACAGCTACAGCCAGCAGCAGCTCGTCATCCCCTTTCTGGAATCCCAGTCTCCTACATCAAGTCTCTCAAAGAAAGAAGAATGCCCAGTAAACCAAATACTCCGAGTCACAGGTCAATCTCGCACGTCCACGATCTCCAAGGGATGCTCCGACTCCGGCGCCCAACTCTTCCGCCACGATCGAGCCCTCCCGGCCCGATCTTCCACGGCACGGGTCGCGTCGTTCTCGTGGAACTCCACGTCGTCATCGAGCCATTCCACCGGCGTGGTCTGGCTCTTCTGGAGTCCTTAGGGAAGAACGGGGCGAACGACATCCATTAAGGGTTTCCTTTCGAAACACGGATTGAGAGAGGGAGAGAGAGAGAGAGACTGGGAGAGAAGTACAAGAAGTCTTCGTTGGTTGGGAGTTCTGAGTAGCCACCAAGTTTGCGATATAGCCCTGACAATCTCTCATGTCAATTCAATGTACTCAAGATCACTCAAGAAGTTAATTTATCATGCTCCACCATTCATCAGTTTTCATTGAATTGTCTCCCTCACTGCAGGTCCTCCACGCGGGGGAACTGCTTCGCCCAATTGCTTGGCAAATTGCTGCGGTGCCCAACTCTTCCGCCATCCCAGCTGAGCTCCAGCTCCCATCGCTCCAGCTTTTATCGGACTGTGGGACACAGGCGGCTCAGCGTGACCGTCGTCACTGTTCTGGGTGTCATCCTCATCCATCTCTTTGTTTGTTTGATCGTCATCTTCCTCATCTTCCTCGTCCTGCAAATGTTATATATAAATGAAATTAGTATAAAGGTCCAGCCAATTGACGGCGGTTGATAAAAGGGGTAATGAAACAGCGCGGATAGTTTTGGATTGTGGATCTGGGTGGGTGATCATCCAGGCCATACTCTTCACATGTTTTGAACGAAGAAGGGGTGCTGAAGCAGTGTTGCACCTCCTCAAATGTTCATGAGAACATTCTGCTTCTGAGGTTGAACACTAGTACACGGACAAAATAAACAAAACCCTGTACTACGTGAAATGCACAAAACATCACAAAACTCTACAACTACCAGGTTACCAGGAAATCTGTCGACCAGGTTGAAACATCAAGTGGTGTCCAATATCTCTTGTCCAGCAAGACTCTGAGCAATTTCAGAAATCTCTCCTCCGAGCTTGGCTCTTCGATCTCAGCGCCACTTGCCTCAGCGCCAATCGCCTCAGCTTTCTGAGCTTCTTCCGCCTCCATGACCAAGACCTGGAAGGTGCCACCCAGGTTTCTCTGCGCCTCTGAGACCTGCAACTCCCGCTGGAGGCGCATGGAAACCTGGAGATTTCGGAGAGTGATACGCGGAGAGAGTCCGTGAGGGTAAGTGGGGTTCTCTCCGGTAGGTACTACAAAAGCATACAAGAATTATGATCTTATGATCAAATTGCATATGCAAATGATTGTAGGATAGTCTGTTTTTGATGGGATAAACCTTCTCAAACGCACGCACAATTGATGACAAATGTTCCCCAGGGATGTCGTCGACACCTGTTGGCACTACCCACCATGGCACATAGGAGCTGATGAGGAAGGTTGAAAGCTGTAGGAAACACCGCCTTTGGGGTATGGTTTCCTTCATCAAATCAAAGAAACTGACATGTAAAGCATGCAAATAGTAATGTATGTAAATTGTATTGGTGTAATTATTTGGGTTTGTTTGGGGTGCTTCACACTCTCGATGTAAGTGGAGTCTGGTCCAAAGAACACAGAATCTAAAACTTCAAAGCAGAATTCGTCAATGTTACGCTGCTTCTGAGCCACTGCTTCTGCTCGTGCCAGTCTTCCACGCAACAAGAGCTCAGTGGTCTTGCTGTCCTGCTGTGCTTTCTTAATGCCTTGCTCTGTGGCAGCCTGAAAGGACTTGAGAGCCTCATCCAGTGCCACCAGCTCATCTGCCACAGTGGGCACGGCCGCAGTTTGTTTGTTCTCAGCCTCTTGGGTCACCACCCTAGGTGACTCAGCACGAGCAGCTCGGGCGCGTGAAGAGCCAACTGACCGGGCTGGCTTGGGCGACTCCCGCCAAACGAAAGGCTTCCTTTCCTTGGACATGGCTACAGCTGCAGTCTTCAACTCCAGATCTAAGCGAAGATCCATGAGTTCTTCTGCGCAAGCCCGTTGTCTGGCCTCCTGATGCGCATCATCAGTTTCCCTCTCAGCCAGAATTTCCCTCATCTCTTCCGTCACACTGGCCTGCACCTTTGCCGCCGCCATACGTTGAGAGGCCAAGAACTTGCCAGCCTGCTGCTCTTGGGCCAAGCGCGCTTGTAAGTCACCAATCTGCTGCAAGAAGTCCTCCTTCTCAATTTGCAGTGTAGCTAAACGTTGCAACTCTTTCTTCTTTGCTTGAACCTCGGCAGTATACCTCTCTCTCTCCAGGTCTTGCAGCTCCTGGACCCTGGCTATGAGCCCTTGAGCCTCCGCCTGCGCTTGCTCCGTGCGCCGCCGAGACTCCTCCCCCAGCAACAGCTCCCGGCGACGGGCCGAGTCTTCCTGAAGCTCCAGCTGCTGTTTCAACTGCCTCTCGTTGAACACGACCTGACCGGCTTGACCGCCGCCCCGGCGAAAAAACAGGACCTTCCTGGTGACGACGGACCTGGAATCAAACAATACAATTGCTGACGGACCAATGCACACCTAATACTATAGGGCGGGGGAACAGAAAAAAGGATAATCATAGTACTGACCAAGAATGTGAGATGCACAAACATCATTCTAGGATATTCTAGAGTATCACCCTAAAATGATTGTTCGAAGAGGACAACTTATAGTTGACTCCCAAATGTGAACAACTCCCCAGTGCCCAGATTCCCACCAGGTGTTCTTAGGCATGTGTCTAATTCAAACATGAATGAACACATAAAGTTTAAGACACATTATCTTTTGTCCCGACGCATGTCAATTTCGACCAATTATCACCTGCTCATATCTCTGCTGCTCCTTCTGCAGTTCAACTCGTAGCTCCTTCAGCTGTGCTTCTGAGCTGGCAAACTCTCCTTGCAGCCTCTGGTGACTGAGCCATGCTTCCAAACCGGTGGTCTATGCTTAAAACATCTTAAAACTATCAAAAGTTGCTTTAAGTCAAGCCTTAGCTTGGATGGCTTGCACGGTTTTTCCAGTATGCCTCCCAATCTTGGATCAACTGACAGTCAGCACCCCATCAACATCCTGGCCTTTGAACCCTCACTTTCTGCTTCTGCTGGATCGAAGCCTCTTCACACACCAGCGACTCGGCTCGATGTGCCATGTCCGTCTCTTGCCGTGCCAAGTGTAGCTGTCGATTCAGCTTGCCACGCAGCTGCTGTGCCGATTCCTTCAACCATCTTCAACCCAACTCGCCCCATCACTGCCATGTATATAGGGTTTACTGGGCGAGACTCCCAACAACGAGGGAATCACCGTGTATCAACTGAATTGGATTCAATGGGAAGTATGCGTCGTTCCGTTTTGTGGCAAGGAATCCAACGAGCCCGGAACGGGAAGTAGGGGATCAAGTCTTTGGTTTGAGAATGCTGAACATTTCAAGCCAAGCCCACACGCCAAGACCATCTAAGTCTTGATATAACCCCGCAAACTGAACTCTCCCGAAATTGCCCAACTTGCGACTATTCTTGGCACGCACCGCAATTATATTAACCGACTTGAGAAAACCAAGTCATTCAGGTCTGGTTCCAGTGGTCTCTTGACGCATAGGCACCCCCTCACAGATCACCCCCCGGGTGTCCTCCTGGCTCGCGAACCTTTGAGCCTCCGCAATCTCCTGTTGGAAGGTTGGGACATGGTTACAACAGGAAAACACCAATAACTGAACATCGTTCCTCAAACCGTTGGCACGATACCCATATACATGTTGAATGTGTTTGATTTGTAGTGCTTCAAAGACTCTTGATCACTCTTTTTGATTTTGACAGCAGCTTGATGCTGAAATGTCCATATACGGCAAGTGTACCCCAAAATGCCTATAGTGCACCCTCCCAGGTGAGTTGAACATGCCAAGTACGGAACAAAAACCATGGGGACGACGTCTGCAAGCCACGCGCCTTGGCTGAGAGCTTGGCCAAGCGGCGCTCAGAGACCTCCTGCTTTGCCCGAAGGTTGGCCAAGTCCAGTTCAAGCGCAGGGAACCTGGAGCACGAACCGCCGACCAAGGTGGTTGTCGGATAAGCATGTGTTTAGTAAAACACGAGGGAGATGCACACCAGCGGCCAGCGTTTCTGATCCTTCGGACCTATCTGTCCAGATCACAAAGTTGCCGCTTCGGCAGAACAGCTTGTAACGGTCTCTACTTTGTGAGGATTGAGGGTATCCGTGTGGAAGCAAGCAAGAAGAAATCAACACCGTGGGAATTTACGGCCGTTCTATGGAGAAGCTCAGCCGCAGCCTATGGCCCAGCCCAGGTGAGCGTGAGTGAACCACACCAAACACCGTTTGAATGACCTAATGTCGGACCGCTTGTTTGAACACTAGTTTGCTCGACTGAGATGCCGAGACCTCCCAAACTTGCAGGACTAGTGTCTATGATCAACTGTCAGAAATCTTGACAAAAAAAGAACTCAGGATTACAGGATACCATGAATCCAAACCCACTGGTTGAGGGGCAACTGCAGGTTTCTAGGTTTCATAACTATATGGACTATGTGTCTTGTGTGGAAATACTTTGCTGGATACAAGTGACAAGTTCTGACCATCGTTTGTCTTCAATCCACACATGGAGCAGGTGGTATGTAGTAGTTGTACTTCGGACTTGCTCAGTGTCAACACTCCATCCAGGTAACTTCTCAGCGAGCTTAGCTTCAGAGAAGGTCATCTGATGATAAGTTTGCTGCTCCCCACGCAGCTCTCTGCGCAGCTCCTTGAGCTGCATATCCATTGCTGCGCACTCTCCCTGAAGCCTCGCGTCGCGTGAAGCCGCACTCGATGAGTTCCGGTTCAAAGGAAGATCATCCGATCTGAAGAGATGAACAAACAAACTAAACAATTAAAACCTTCAAAGGTCTTCACTCGAACGAAACACCTGCTAGCATCCTCCACTTCATTATTCTACAAAAGCATCATTGAAAAATAGGACTGAATCTGAATCCAACCCAAGTAACTTCTCAGCTAGCTTGGCCTCACAAAAGGTCATCTGATGATTAGTCTGCTGCTCCCCGCATAGCTCTTCTCGCAGCTCTTTCAATTGCACCTCCATTGCTGCAAACTCTCCTTGCAGCCTGTGCACACGCCACTGGTCATCAGGTTTACAGAAATCCAACATACATTACTGGGTTGTATTTAACATAGTTCAATAGTTCATACTAACCTCAAACCATTTTTTCACCCCCAAGCCCAACCGCCCAACAGCAGCAGTGGCGGCGGCGGCGGCTGCTGCTGCGGCCGCTGCCACCATCCAGGGCCGCCTTCAAACAATCAAGGTGGGGATGGCATGGATTGAGTTGGGAGGACTAGTTGAGGGTGAAGGATTGTGATGGTTGGACCTATCGATGGTTTCAGATAATTCATGAATCAAAATGTTTTGCTATGGAACATGTACTCTTGAACATGGGAGGTTCACTCAAAACCTTGGAACAAGGGATCCGTTCCATACCCTATGCGCCCTATGGAACAGGAAGGTGCATGATGTTCACCTGAGACCTGGGGTTTTGAGGCGCACCCATATTTTATTCTCCACCCACTTGGGGGATGATTGAACCTTTTTTCTTAGTTCTCCACCGGAGGTGCCAGGCACCATGTCATCTGTCAGCATGCAGACTGAATTAAAGGTTTCTGTGCTTGCTCCACAGCCTCTAAGCCATGGCATGGCTTTCAAGCATCATGGCATGGTATCACATGGCTCTCAAGCCAAATATCACACCATGGCATGGAATCACTGCACTTTCAAGGCAACATGGCATGGAATCACTGCACTTTCAATCCAAATATCACACCATGGCATGGAATCACTGCACTTTCAAGCCAAATATCATGACATGGCATGGAATCACTGCACTTTCAAGCCAAATATCACACCATGGCATTGAATCATGCAAGCATGACATCCACCTAGTCTCCATCACCTGTGATCTTGAAGCCATGAGACGCTACAACCCGTATGTGCATGGCAAGGATGATGATCATGGCAAGGTGGATGATAGGAAACCGTGACTTGCAAGAATTTTCAGATTGTACGTTTTTTCTATTTTTGCTCAATTTGGGGTGAGTTGAATTTTGGGAACCACCCCCAGGGAAGATTGTATGTGTTTTCTATTTTGCTCAATTTGTTTCTTTTCATTTTGATTGTGAAGGGTGAGTTGAATTTTGGGAACCACCCAGGGAAGATTGTATGTTTTTTCTATGTTTGCTCAATTTAGTTCTTTTCATTTTGATTGTATGGGGTGAGTTGAATTTTGGGAACCACCCAGGGAAGATTGTATGCTTTTTCTATGTTTGCTCAATTTGTCTCTTCAATTTGATTGTATGGGGTGAGTTGAATTTTTGGAACCACACCCAGGGAAGAACCTCGCAATCCTCCTCGTCGCCCTGTGTTTGATCCCTTGGTTCCTGCAAAGAAGATTGGGGTGACGACATCAGAACGGCCCCTTGACCTGGCATGGAAGAGTGTTTTGGATTTGTTTTGGGTTTCCTTTGTGTTTGAGTTTGGGTATGTTTGATCATACTTTGGATTGGATGTGTCATGTTTGTTTCATTTTGTTTGGTCAGCCTTTTGGTTTGAGTTCAGTTGAGGTGGTGGAGGCATGGTGGTGAGGCAGTGCAGGGCAGCAGGTATCGGGGGCATGTGAGCTGCCAAACCACGTTCAGTGCCTTCATGCCTGGAGATGGGGTGACCTTTCAGCCACAGAGTCAGAGTCACCTAGATGATCCTAGTCTTGTTTTGTTGATATTTGTTGTTTGATCTGGATGCTTTGGTTTTGTGAGTTTGTTCTTGAAGTTTTGTTTTTTTGTAGCTCTGTTTAATAGGTTGTTTGTTTGTGTGTTTGTTTGTTGATGATGTTGATGCTCCAGGCAATACATGGGAGTGCAGCAAGGAAGATCCAAAGAACAGCTCAGATGGCGAGGTCTTTGCCATTGAAGCTTGGCCTTCATGGAAGTTTGTTTAACTTTTGCTGAGGGAAGGTTTTAATGTTTAGGTTTTGGTCCTTGTGTTTTGTATTGCTGGGCCTGTTTGTTCCTGGTTTTGAGCCAGTTTGGGCGAGTTTGGGTCAGGAGAACTTGACGGTGTCAGTGGCTGCCAATGGTTCTGAAGAGGTGTGCGGTAAGGCCTTGATGAATGTGACTTGGTTGGATGATTGAAGTCATATTTTCATTTTGTTCTGATGCTTTGATTGTGCTTTGATTGTGTTTGATTGTGCTTTTCATTTGTATCCTTAACCTCAAGGTTAAAAGCACTAGCAAAGTTGCACACAGCTTTCTGACATGGCATTTTGGCTAATGAAAACCTTGATCATCTGAGGCTCAGGATATCATGACTATGGGCAAGGAGGAGTGCATGTCAAATCTGGAGATCGCGATGGCTGTCTTTGACCAGCTGAGAGGACCAGTGCTTGGAGCACGCCTGAGTGCCACTTGGCTGTAGTTTGCACATTCGCTGTGTGCAGCACCTTTTGATATTTGTCAGCTTGCCTTCATAGAGCCTTTCTCTCACCGTCTGACTGCAAGAGTATACGATAGAGTCTTGTAGCCCAGGATTGGATGGATGAGATGAACATCAGCCAGGAGGAGCAGGAGGAGGAGGAAGGTAGATCTTCGTCATCCAAAGGCATCCGCTGATCTTGTTCATGGATCCATAGGTGTTGGCATTTGCTCACCTTCTTTGGTTGATTGACCTGACACCTCAGAACTTCTGAGATAAAGAGTTCACTGCTTGCTCCTGGAAGGTGAGCCAGTGCATGCATGGGGACTGTGGCCAAAGTGCCTGCCTGATATTGTTTGATCATTTTGGTGATCCCATAGGTTGGCATTGGCTCAAAGTTGAACGGATTGTTGGATATTGGCTGGATTATTGATACGGTTTGTTGAATTTACCTTTACAGTGAAATGAGCCTGGTGAGCAAATGAACCCTGGTGAGCAGCTGAACGGGGATCACACTGGCAGTGTGTTGGGCAAAGAGCCTGATCATGATCGAGCGACAAATGGTGGGGTGGAGGAGGGGAGGAGGGCATTGGGCACAGCTTTTCCTTGGAAGGTCTGTAGATCACAACTGCAGTCTCTAGCACCTTTGTTGTGCAAGAAGCCTCCGAAAGATCAAGATCCTCTTAGTCTTTCTCATGGTTCTCAAACCACTTCACTGAGAGGTCCTTGAATTTGCTCCTCAGATGGTCCAAGTGCAGTAGCTTCCCACTTTGCAGCTAACAAGCAATGCATTGGTCTTTTTTTTCTCCCATTTTTTTGCTCTCATGGGAGTTCAGAACGGCCCGGCATCGGAGATAAAGCTGGGCATCCTGGTAGCCCACTCTTTGTTGGCCTTTGGCATTTTGAGCCTTTCAATAAGATCACCTGGAGCAAATGCACCCGCCGCCAATTCACGGTCAGTGCTGTAGCGGTCATGAGCTTCAGTGGACTCCAAGAAGTGGTTCTGTCAACTCATCCAGGCAATCCACATGCACATGCATTGGGTCTTCCTTGGTGCAGCCTCACCGGATGCTTCCATTGTAGGTGGTGTGCCGTACGGCCTAGCACCTGCATCTCCAGAATCATAGTGGGCTTCAAAGCGGTGGCACCATGTCCTTGCCCTGGAAGCTGTTCTGGTCCCCTGGACTCAAGTTTGGACCACAAGCGATGAAGAAGCAACGTCCTTGACATCTCTTGCTTCATTTGCAGGGCTGTTCAGTGATCGAAGCTCCACAATGGTGTTGTAGGCCAGACATGCCTCACTTCATCAGGCCCTTCTCTTTCCATTCAGAGGATCTGCAATGCGGCAGCATCCTGATGTACTGCACCTCTAAGGGTGTTTCTGGATCTTGCAGGACTCTGACGGATGCCCTTCAACACTCCCAACTCCCACAACTCTCACGACTCCCAACTCCCACAACACTCCCCAATGGGATGACTTGCACCTCCTGCCAGGTCCGCTGCTTTGGCCTTGCCACTGGCTTGGTGGCCCAAGTGTGGATGGGAGAGTGGGTGATATGTTTTCTAGGTGGTGGTATTTTTCTAGGTGGTACCCTTGGGATAATTGAATCCACTTGAAACCATCCGTCGACCGGTTCATTCATGAATCTGATGATAGGGCCATGGCATGATTTAACATCTTGTGGCCAATAATCAGCATCCATCAAATCATGAAAGGTAGCTTGAGCTACCGTTCTCCTTGCTTTAGCAAAAAATGTATTTGAATCAGGAGTTGGGATTGTGCATTGAGTTTGGTCCTGTAAGAGTTGATTCCCCCCCCGGATCAAATCCCCCTGCGCCGGTTCACGCCGTCATGAACTTCTACCAGGGTTACTTGTGATTGCCCGCTACCTTTCATTCACCCCCTCCTCTCTCAAGTGAGACCCCTGGTACCTGTAATATGCCTTAAGATCAATTATTTTGGAACCATGCCATATGTCTTGAACTGGAGTGTGGCTCCACAACCCAAAAAAGTCTGTGGGCAGTGGATAACCGGTGTTTAGTTCACAGTGCTCAGCTCAAAACTGGGAAGCTTCAACTGAAGCAAAGCCACATGAATCAACCATCAACACTTTTCTACCTGCCCTTTCGCGTCTCGAGACGATCATGACGGGTTGGTGTAACTCAATTCATCCCGCAACTCATTTTTACATATCAGATAATCATGATTATTGGTTGTGTGCATTGAACTTGCCATCACTGGGCATACTAAATGAGAACCAGAACATACCCATTTAAACAGACCCTTTAAGACACATGCATCATAGAAACACACACATTCCTATGGCTGGCCCTGAAGATAAAGTGGATTTTGAAAGTGCAAAGGTCACCAACCTGTCACCAGCAACCACTTTCCTGGCATCCTGTTCTGAGCTTGCCGCAATGAGAAGCAAGACGACAGAGCAGCTGCGATCCATGGCCGTGCAGATCAACACCTGGAGGGAGGAGTTCCCATGGTTGCTGATGGGTCCACATGGGATCCAATGCAAGAACTGCAAGAAGGCTGGTGCGAAAGGGAAATGGGCCACTGGAATTGGTACCTTGGTTTTGATTATATATAGGGAATCACACGTTGATGGCATCCCACTAGGCTTCCACCAAAGGCATGTTTGTTTGAAGGGCATTGTTTTTCCTTAGTAGAAAAATTTAGTTCCAGGATCTACCCTCAAGGGGTTGACATTTCCCTAGTAGAGATCACAAATTGATCACATATCAAAGGGGTTGTGCAAGTGCAATCAAAGTGGGATTCCCTATAGATATGTTGTGAGGCCCCGGCTGATAAACCCAAAAATA